GTATGTACTCATTCACTTACTTCATTCATCAACTATTTATGGAGTTTGAGGTGTGTGCCAGGAATTGTTCCAGGTGCTGAGGATACTGCAGTGAATATACCAGAAAAGGTGTTTGTCTCATAAAGTTGACACATCAGAGGAAGACAAGTTTTTCAATGAGGTGGAAAGATAATGATCTGGACAAATTCTTTGGGAAGATGTTGACATCAGTCATCAGCTGGACCGGCGATTGGAAGCTGCTCACCAATTTTATTTTATTTTGTATTTAATAAACATGAAGCACTTACTGTGTGTCTAGCACAATTTTAAGTGATTTATAAAAATTGACCGGTATGCTCTTCCTACATAAGTGTTAGATATTATTCATATTCATGCGTCACAGACAGGAACGCTGAGGCACAGAAAGGTTGCTCGAGATCACAGAAAGAATCAGATGTGAGATGCAAATGCATGAAATCTGGTTTCACAGTCCGGGCTCTTCGCTGTTGCCTTAGGCTGCCTTTTCTAGGGGAAAGTAGGTTGAACAGAGAGCTCACTGGGGTGTGGAAAGGTAAGCTACCAGCTTAAAAATAACATAAAAACAGATGTCTTAGAATCTGTAGTTCTTAAACTACAGGTGTACTGGTTAAGGCAGTGATTCTCAAACTTCAGTATGCATGAGGATTACTTGGGGAAGCTTGTTAAAACGCAGATTCCAAGACTTATTTATTCTCTCAGTTATTCTCCAACAGGTCTTGGTTGGGGCTCTTAAATCTACAGTCACTCCAGATGATTGTAATTCAGTAGTTCTGAAATTGGACTTTGTGATACACTGCATTAAAAGGGTGACTATTTGCATATTAAGATAACTAACAATTAAGATGAGGAAGCACTCAGGCAATTTATTAAAACTATCAGACTTTAATGATTTCTGATTATAAAAGTGTGATATGCTTATTTTATGAAATTGCAATATTCGGACAGTTACAAGAAAATGAAAATCACTCAAAATCCTATCTGTAAGATTAGGAAATTATTGTCATAACCTGTGTGAAAACCAATTACAAGGGCAAATAAAAATATTTCTAAAATTATGAGGCACATAAATGAAAAAAAGGATGAAATTAACATTTAAATTTTTAAGCACATTTTTCGTATGTTAGTTAATGTATCCACGTTAATTAACGGCATTTTTTTGTTTATACCAGATGTAATGAACTATTTTCCTTCCAACATTTTATTATGAAAATTTTCAAACATACAGAAATGTTGAAAGAA